CCATTAAGTAATTTTTGTATCTTGCTGTATAAAACAGAAACTGGTTTTATTATTACTATGCAGAGACTGGTTTTATTAATTTTTTATATTATTTACAAAAGTATGTTCTTATGCAAGTGTTACAAGATGAGTACTAGCTTTTTTAATTTTTTTTTTTTAATTTATTTAGTTTTAAAGTCTAACTGTGAGTTCAATTATTATAGTTTATGTTTATGCACCAAAGGCTTCACTAAAAAACCATTTATGTACTTTAAAAGATAATTATTAGCCAATAAATTTACTGTACAAAAAATGCAATAGTGATATTTATATTGGTTGTTTTCATTGAGATTTATATTCTGATTTTATTTCGGAACTGACAGAGACTGTCTGCTCTTTTACTTTACAGTAAATGTGCATTAATAAAAATTACAAATGGAAAGTCTGTCAAAGTATAAACCAGTGCATTAAACTATAAATTAAGTTGTTATTGTTGTTTAACAAACAAAAATTTTAAAGATTAGTGTCTTTGCTTTCTAACATTCCCTTAGTACTACATTAATTCTTGAAATTCTGACTGTCATTAAGGTGAACTGTAAATAATTTTTTTATTTTATTGTTTTTTTAAAGATATAATATTTTGAAATAAAATTGTTTCAATCTTATTTCCATAGGTCGTCATTTTTGACTTGAATGTTAACAAGTATAAACCAATCTGCGAACAGAAAAGTATAACTTATTTTCACTAGATAATACAAACTTTTAATTTTTTTTTCTTTGTCAACTAAGTTACTCCCAACAAGGATGCAATCAACCGCTATTTAAATTAGAAGTTACCAGAAAATAAAAAATATTGTTAAAGACCAAGAAAGCGATTGACAAAAGGCTTAAATAACTGTAATATATATGAGTTGAGAAAACATGAAGATGGGAGGGAATTTAAAAGCATTGAAGTGTACAAGAAAAAAACTAAATGAATAAAAGTCTTTAGAACACAAAGGGACATATACAATAAAATAATGCAATTTTGCTGAATAATAATTACACATAATTTAGTTTTTGTTGATGAATAGCTAACTTGGGCAGCAACCGTGATAGTAGTTATGGAAAAGAAAAAGAGATACTAAGAATCAGCTAGAGCAAGTTAAACTACATTTACAATACATTTTTGAATTTTGTCTAGAAGAGAAAGGACATCATTAGAAGAACCAGCCCATATATGGCAACAGTATTCCATACAGAGACGAATAAGAGATTAGTAGAGTTTAAGAATGGAATCCAAAGTAACAAAATAGCCCGCAAAAATAGGGAAAGCAAAAATTCATTAGCCATTTCAAGCCCCAACCCGCCACAGAAGAGAGATCATATTCAGATTCAAGTTTGATTGCCTGTTTTAAGTGATCAAAAACTGATGATCGAGACTGGAATATATAGATGTGTTGTCAACGATAGAGAGCCTCTTTAGATATAAGATTGTAAGGAATATCCTTAATAAAAATCAGAAGCAGTACAATGAGCAAGGAAAACAAAATTTAGTCAAGATTTATTAAGTAGTATGGAGAGTAGCGAAGAAAGTTCTGTAGAACATTTTTGTATAACTGTGACAGGAATGTTGTTTGGACCGCTGTAGACGAGTTTATAAAAAAATCAACCTTAGCAACAGAACACAGAGTGATTTGGATGTCTAACAATGAATTAATCTGTTTTTTTGGATGACACGAAGAGTGTGGTCATTAGATTAAAGAGATGAATTACAGAAAAAAATATTTTCAAATAGTTTTTCTTTGTTCTTGGAAAAGGTAATAAGATCAAAGTTACCTTAGTTAGACTTACTATAGTTAATGACACTTTTAAAGATTTTCCAAAAGTCTCCTGAGATAAAATATGAGATTTAGTAAACTGAGAATGTTGGAGCTTCCGACAGCAACTTTTTACATTGATTTTTTACAATAATAAAAAAAGATTTGTTTTCAATAGAGTTGTTTTTGTTAAAAGATGAAAAAAATGATTTGAATAGCAGCTGCACAAAAAAATAAAAACCATGGCATCACAGGTGGTGACCTAAGGGTCATTTGTGTTCAGCATGATCATGGGGTCACGGGTGTTCAGTAAAATCAGTGCAAAGTTTGAAGGTTAAAAAAATGTGCACCAACAAGTTTTCACCGTTTTAGATTTTTTAGACTTTCTATTTTGTTACAATTTTAATACTCTTCTCTTTTATAAAGAAAATTAAAGTCTTTAATTTGTAATAAAAGAAAATGGTGTCAAAACAAAAAGCTAACAAAAAGCAAGTTTATAAATTTTATTTAGCGCATCGATCTTGCGGAAAGAAGTTCACCTCAGATTACTTTAAAATAGAAAAAAATCCAAGACAAACCATTTCCAATGTGATCCAGCATGCTGAAAATGGCTCTGGTTATAAAGTTAAAGGAATAAATAAATTGCCAGAAAAATCAACTTGTAATTAAATCAGAAAAATTAGAGATGATAAAAGAAGTTTAATATTGAAACTATTAATGGA